CGGATATTATATTGGGCATGGATTGGGTGGATACGATGGCCCCAATTGTTCTACACACTAGGCCACACAACATTTCTTTTTTCAGGGGGGACAAAATCATCACCTTGATAGGTTGTGATAATTCTGGGTCGAGTGAATCTTGTGATGAAAAGGTTATTCAGAAGTTGTTAAGGATGGGCCAATGTATCATTTTGGCCCAAGACAAAAATAGATGCCTTACCCAAAGATGACAGACCACCAGAACCAGTCCAAAACTTATTGTCCAGATTTGTGGACATATTCCAAGAGCCTAAAAGCCTTCTTCCAAATAGGACTTGTGATCATGCAATCGAGCTGCTACCAGGGTCTAAGCCTAGTAACATCCGCCCTTATAGATACTCATTTGAGCAGAAAAATACCATCGAAAAAATGGTCAGAGAGATGATGAAAGCTCAAACAATTTCACCTAGCACTTCTTCTTTTGCATCCCCAGTCATATTGGTTAAGAAGAAAGATGCTACGTGGAGATTTTGTGTGGATTATCGTAGGTTGAACGACATTACGATAAAAAACAAGTATCCAATCCTAGTTGTGGAAGATCTTTTGGATGAACTCCATGGGGCTAAAATATTCTCCAAATTGGACTTGAGGTCGGGCTATCACCAAATAAGAATGAGGCCGGGGGATGAGTTCAAAATTGCTTTTCGGACTCACCATGGACTTGGGAATTCAAAGTAATGCCCTTTGGGCTTACCAACGCCCCTGCCCCCTTCCAAGCCCTGATGCATGAAGTTTTCAGCCCTTACGCAAATTTGTCCTAGTTTTCTTCGACGACATCCTGATCTATAGTGCTAATCTGAATGATCATGTCCAACATCTAGAAGTGGTTTTTAAAGTGTTCAAAGCAAATCAGTTGTTCGCCAAAATATCCAAATGTAGTTTGCCACGGCCCAAGTCGAGTACTTAGGGCACATTATCTCAGGGCATGGAGAAAGTACTGATCCAACCAAAATTGAGGCAATAGTTAGCTGGCCCTATCCTGTCACCATTAAGGAGTTGCGTGGGTTTCTGGGACTCACTAGATACTACACACGTTTCATCAAAGGATTTACTATCATTAGCAAGCCACTGATTGAATTGTTAAAGAAATGGACATTCAACTGGGACGAAAAGGTTGCGGAGGTCTTTGATGAACTGAAAAATGCCATGGTCCGAGCTCCAGTACTAGCCTTACCCGACTTCTCAATACCATTCATCGTGGAGGTAGATGCGAGTGGTACGGGAGTGGGGGCTGTTCTGATGCAAAATAGCAGGGCAATAGCCTTCATGAGTCAAGCCCTTAGTCCAAAGCATTTGGGCCTCTCTACATACGAGAAAGAATTGATTGCCTTGTTGATAGCAGTGGAAAAGTGGCGTCACTATCTTCAACCCCACCATTTCATCATTCGTATCGACCATTTCAGCCTCAAATTCTTGAGAGACCAAAGAATCACCATAGCTCTTCAGCACAAGGGAATCACAAAATTAATGGGGTTGAGCTACGAAATACAGTATCGAAAAGGGGCAGATAATGTAGTTGGTGATGCTTTGTCACGCAGGTTCAAGTCTACTGAAGAATGCAATGGGCTTACAACTGTGCAACCAAAATGGGCCACTGAAATAATGGAAAGCTATGAAGGGGACCCTGAAGCTCAACACATTCTAACACAACTAGCAGTCGATAGCAATGCCCTACCCAACACTACCTTACAGAATGGATTGATTAGAATAGACGGCAAGATATTTGTGGGTAGTAAAGGTCAATTACGAGAGAAGCTTATTGAACAAATGCATTCCACACCCTGGGGAGGACATTCGGGAATTTTGGGCACCCAATAGAGGTTAAGGGCCTTGTTCTTTTGGCCAGCACTACTGACTGAGGTGAAAGAGAAGGTCAAGAGTTGCGAGGTTTGTCAACGCAACAAGGCAGAACATGTTCCTTATCCCGGACTTTTGCAACCTTTTCCAATCCCTTGAGCCTGGGAACACCTAACCATGGATTTCATCGAAGGACTACCCAGGTCATTTAGAAAGGATACTATTCTGGTAGTCATTGACAGGTACACCAAGTATGCTCACCTATTCACATTGACTCATCCTTACAACGCAACTCAAGTAGCTCAGTTATTTTTGGATCACATTTGCAAGCTTCATGGAGTCCCTAGCTCAATTCTGTCAGACCGTGATCCCATCTTCACAAGTTTGTTCTGGAAAGAGTTGTTTAATGGTTTGCGCGTTGAGCAAAGACTCAACACTGCGTATCACCCGCAGTCTGATGGGCAATCGGAGAGACTAAACCAATGTGTGGAGGCTTACCTGCGTTGTATAACTGGTCATAGACCCAAAGAATAGAGCAAGTGGATTTCACTCGCTGAGTTTTGGTAAAATACCAATTGCCAGTCAGCTACTGGTATGACTCCATTCAAAGCATTTTATGGTTATGAACCACCCTTGCCAACCTTTGAGCTAATTTCTCAATCCAAGCTGGACTCAATAGATCAGCTATTAAGGGAGCGGCAAATAGTTTACAAAAGCTTGAAAGAGAATTTGACCAAGGCTCAAAACCGTATGAAACAGTACGCAGATTCCAAAAGAAGTGAGAGGGAATTTATGGTAGGAGACATGGTCTTCTTAAAATTGCAACCATATCGTCAGACTTCAGTAGCAATGAGAAGGAATTTGAAACTGGCAGCCAAATTTTACGGTCCTTATGAAGTAATTCGTAAGCTGAGCCAGGTAGCTTACGAGTTAAAATTACCCCCAAGCTCGAAGATTCACCCAGTATTTCATGTATCTCAATTGAAGAAAAAGATTGGGGACAGAGTCATTCCTTCCCAAGAACCTCCATTTTGCTCTGATAATGGTCAAATCCTTGCTGAACCAGTTGCAATTCTGGACAGGAAAATGGTCAAAAAAGGAAATAAAGCAGTGGTACAGGTACTAGTCCAATGGGCAAACCTTTTGAAGGAAGAAACGACATGGGAAGATTATGCATTCTTAAAGTCTCAGTTTCCTGAGTTTGATCCTTGATAGAAGAAGAAGTGCTTTGTTTGAAAGGAGGATGGGATGTCACGAATACAATTGTGACATTGGGTCAGCTATTGCTTGGGCTGAGGATCAGCTTATGTTAAGGCCCAGTGCCATTTCTGCAGTATTGAGCCCATCAATTAATTACCTCTCTCTTGTTACCTCAAACGGCTATAAGCCCAATCAAGGACAAGTGTCCAATTATAGTACTAGTTTGTTAGGAAGACAGTTGTAGCTAGCTGATTATCCTTATTTATCCTGATATGTATTTGGAGGAATCTATCAATGAAATCAGAATTTGCTTAATTTTCTTCCTTTATATTTTTCTTTCTCCCAACAATCAGAATTGGTATCCCAGGTGCTACATATTGAAGACATCAATGCTGTATTTTTTTCCTAAACAAACTTATTGGAGTTGTTCCCTTTATCATTTTGTTTTGCCTTGTAGTCACTACAAAACTGCTACAATAAAAAGTCACAAAAAGGACTACCATATTAGATGGACACATAGTGTTTTCCGATTTTTCATAAAAGGATGGCGCGCAAGAGTAGTGCAGAGATTATGTGCAAGAATTTTGGCTTCTGAATACTTTGCATGTTTACTTGTTTTTTTTTACTCGTTAGAGTTGAACAACAACAACAACATACTCAGTGTAATCCCACAAGTGGGGTTTGGGGAGGGTAGAATGTACGCAGACCTTACCCCTATCTTGTGAAGATAGAGAGACTGTTTTCGATGGGCCCTCGGCTCAAGGACTCGTTAGAGTTGAGTAAATAAGTATTATAACCTTCATACCCCACAATTGTGATCTTTGCAATTTGCTACTTTAAGATCATGTTCCTTAGTTGTATCACTTAAAAGAAAATAATTAATCAGCCAGCTAAGCTTCAATTCCGATCTAGTTTGGATTCATTATACGAATTCTCTGTGTCCTTCAACTTTATTCAAGTCCATTTTATTATAGTACTCAAATTTTTTCTCTTGTAAGGCAAATTAGGACATTTCTAAAACTAGAAGTTCTCTAAATCGCAAACTTATTTGACGTTGACATACTAGTATTAACTAGATGCAAGAGACAACTATAACAGAGTCTGGTGTAAGCTTACAATAACTAATCAACTAACCCAACTAGTTAGTATTGTTTATATGAACTCTTTATCTAATTCTACATTGATTTCAAGAAATTATAGGTCTTTTGAGATAGTCTTCTCCTCGTAATTCTAGGTGTTCCTGTTTTTTTCTAGCAGTTCTAATCATCATAGTTTTGCGCCTTTAGGTTTGTGCTTATGAATGTCCTTGTGAGATATGGCTATCTCATGTGATCATTTTATATCCAATGTGCTCTACTTGCACCTTGTATTAGATTTATTTATTCTAATATCATTCAATATTGTATGATCGCACATCTATCTAGGATCTGTCTATACTTTTACAATATTCCTCTTATATTGGGCCTTAGAGGCCCTACACTTACTTTCATATAATATTGTTGGTTTCATAACAGTTCTGAAAATTAAATTCGTGTGATTTCAAGGGAAATAAAATGTTTAAAATTATCTAAATAATATACCTTTTAAATTATTATTTTTTCATATAAAAGCAGATAGAAGTTTTCTCAACATGCAACCTTTATTTCCTTTAAGATGAATGGATTTTTTTCCTTTATACTTTGTAAAGGGAGAGGGAGGGGTTTTTGCTCCTCATCATAATTTACTGATTTAAAAAATAAAACCTCATCATACTTCATGATTACTTTCAATCCATTTTACTCTGTGGATGGTATTTAAAGGAGAGATTTCTAAATATGTGGGCGGCAGTGAACAGAGACAATGATGACCTTCAAACTTATGAATTCTGATGTTTTCTGCGTTTGTGAATATTGTAGCATTTGGGGTAACTTGTACCTTTAATAGTTAAATTACGTTAATAACCTCATACTTGAGTCCTAACTTCTCTCCTAGATGTTAAAATGCTGCTTATTTTGCACTATTTGAAGCATTGCTTTGTTGAATCTATTAGATCCAATGCACATTTCGACATGTAATCCTCCTCAAATTCTCTGTGATGCAGGAATTCTTCAAATAGTCAAGAATCCCTGAAAAGTCCATTAGGTGAAACTGCTTTGAGGCAAATGAAAAAATCTTTCTATACGAATGTTCCTCTTTCATATATGGAATATATAGGAAATCTTGCATTTGAGACTCTTGGGCTAGAATATGGGGAAGAGAAGGAATTATACCATATTTAAGGTATTATTTTCATCCTTCTAGCAAATGTAGCTCTCTTTATGTATTGGTTCTTTTTTGATAACCCTTGTGTTTGTAGCTTTCCGATAACTTGTGTTCTGATTCAACTGTCTCCTGCAAACGTACAATAGCCGAGGATCAGAAAAGAATTCAGCTCTATAAGGTTAGAACTCAGTTCCGCCTGCTTCTTGATGAAGACTACAATTTATTGCAAGCTGCCCAGGTAACTGTTTACTTTTAGCTTTAGAAAAACAACATTTAATCTTGCCATGAACGTATTTACCTCCTCTACCTATATTTTTGCATGCTTTACTTCGTGCAGTTTGTCTTTTTCTACCTGTCTTTTGACACTATGTTTTTTCTTTTAGATTGAGGTGAACCAAGTATACCACATGGTTGCAGATATGAGCTGTCTTTGAAAGAGTTCAGACCTGAGGTTGATGCTTCATACCAAGAAAATCATGGCCGCTTTATCTGTAAGTTACTTCCTCCATTGAGGATTAATTTTTCTGTATGCTAGAATCGATCAGTATATTAGTTAGATCCAAGTCCTCCTTTTGTTTGTTATTTCTTGCTATTCTTTTACCTTGTTAAGCAGTAACTCATATTTGAAAGTTATGTCCGGTGTTTGGATTTATAATTTTGGAACATTATTGAGAAGCATCTCCATTCACTTACTCTTGTTGCAAATTTCTTGCTTTTTCATGTTTTGTGGCTTTGAGTGAGGGTTGACGAGACGCGAGGCGGTGTAGTGTTAATGCCAGGCTGGAGGTTTGGAGGCAGACCCTGCAGTCTAAAGGTTTCAGGTTGAGCAGGACTAAGACAAAATACTTAGAGTGCAAGTTCAGTGACGTGACTCAGGAGGATGACGTGGAAGTGAGGCTGGATACACAAGTCATCCTCAAGAGAGGATGAATCAAGTATCTTGGGTCTATAATCCAAAGTAATAGGGAGATTGACGATGATGTCACACATCGTATTGGAGCGGGATGGATAAAATGGAGGCTTGCATCCGAAGTCTTGTGTGATAAGAAAGTGTCATTGAAACTTAAAGGCAAGTTCTACAGAGTGCTTGTTAGATCGACTATGTTGTATGGGGCGGAGTGTTGGCCGCCTCTCATGTTCAAAAGATGAAAGTAACGGAAATAAGGATACTGAGATGGATGTGTGAGCATACTAAGAGAGATATGATTAGAAATGATGATATTCGGGATAAAGTGGAGTGGCTCCCGTGGTGGACAAGATGCGAGAAGCGAGGTTGAGATAGTTCGGGCATGTGAAGAGGAGATGCACAAATGCCCCGCTGGGGAGGTGTGAGAGGTTGGCTATGATGGAGCCAAGGAGAGGTAGAAGTAGGTCGAAAAAGTATTAGAGAGAGGTGATTAGGTAGAATATATCACATCTTCAGCTTGCCGAGGACATACCCTTGATGGGTTGGAGTAAAGGTCGAGAATTAGGGTAGTAGGTTAGTGAGTAGTCGAGCGTAATTCTTTTTCGTACCTGTATGGCTTTTCTATACTTGTAATACAGTGTATTATGTTGTTTCTTTTGCTTCGGTTACATGGATTTTTCTCTTTACATGCTTTTCTTCAGCTGAAGGTCTATCGGAAACAACCTCTCTACCTTCACAAGGTAGGGGTAAGGTCTGCGTATGCAGTACACACTTTCCTCCCCAGACTCCACTTGTGGGACTACACTGGGTATGTTGATGTTGAGGGAGGGTTGAATGTTTCTTCAAGAAAAAGAGAACAGTAAAATAAATTGCATTTTGGGCTGACCTTATAGGCTTCGGTAGGTTTAAAATGCTCGAAACGGGTTTGATTTACTCCTGGCATTGTTTTTGGAGTCCTCTAGTTGCTGGAATGAGTTAGATATAAAACAGTTATAAAGTGAAACTCAAATGAGGGAAACTAGAAAAGAGAACAAGGAAGAAAGAAGCTGGCCTAGATACCATAGTTATCTTTAAAAAAAAAGGGAAAAAAGAAGATACAGAGGCAAAAAGTAGAAATGAAGATATTCTTCATGGGCCTTTGCCTTAGGGTCTTTAATGAATTTGATTTGCTTGGGGTCTCAAAATAGCTACTATTATCTATTAAGATTTTTCTCTGAGCTGAGGGTCTCCCGGAAACAACATCTCTATCCCTCCAGGTTAGGGGTAAGGTTTGCGTACACTCTACCCTTCCCAAACCCCACTAGTGGGATTCTACTGGGTGGTTGTTGTTGTTGTTGTTATTGTTGTTGTATCTATTAAGATTTAAGGGCTTTCAAAGCCCAACCAAAGATGAAGTTGCAAACCAAGAAAGCATAGTTCCTTTTGTGGTGGAAAATGAGGTGTTTTTTGATGTTTCATCAAGTTCATTAAGTCTGATGCCTTCAGATTTTAGAAGGGTAGTGTTGCTTGCCAGATTGAATAGTGTTACATTGATCTTGTACCAGGAGTGAGTACAGGTATGGACTGCACTCAATGACTCAAAGTGCTTATCACCCTAATAAAAGGGGGAAGCATAGACTTTTGAAGTATGCATGACACGCCATTGAATTGCTTCTTATCAACAAGCGCGAATCTTCAGTACAAGTTAGAGGTTGGGCAGAACCCAGTAGCTTTTGCCCAAGGCATGTATCCGTGTTAAGAAATTTACTGAATATGCATAAATAATCCATGTCGAACCCAGTAAACTATCCGGTCCTGGAATTCAGAACCTGTAACCTTAAATCCTAGATCCGCCACGGCCCTTGCTTGTCAAAAGCTTTTAGTCAGAAATTATTTGAAGAGTTAAAGTCTAGTTTCAAGCTTCTGAGGGACATACTGCATGATTCTGCCTTTCCGTTGATAGGATTTTTTTGGCTACAGTCTTATCTGTAATTCTTTGTTTGGTATTACAATTTTAAGTCTGACTAGCCAGCCTTATTATTTCCACTATGTTTATTGCTTTTTATGTGGTTTTACGTTTTGTAATTTCCCTCTCTCCCTCTCCTCAGCTTCTCCTACCCCCTTTCTCCCCTTTAGTTCAATATTGGGGTCTATTAAGGATAGGACAGAAGGTGGAACATTTTTTTTTTTTTCCTGAACCAATAAAGATAACTTGAGTAGCATTAGACGCAAATATGAACCCACCGTTGCTTAATCAAGTACTAGTTGACCAGTGCAATGTGCAATAGATATATGGTGAGATGAATTCTACTCTTTAATTTAAACATCAGAGGGACCAGAACTACATAAATTGCTATTTCTCAATGAAAAATAAGTCAAAAAGGTGGAACAAATTAGTCTTCACCTATGGCTCAGCTCCAATTCCTGGTCCCTGTTTTGTTTTTTTGGGTTAATCATCAAGGAGGTTTTTCTACACAATATGACGTGCTGGATAGCAAGATATATAAATGCATCAGAACAATAATCTCAATTTTAGGAGCAATATTGGTTTGTAAGTGTGATTTATAAATGGCAAAGCGAGTTTGCTTTAATGAGCAGGGGAACCCATTGACTTGGCAGCAACGGTGTGATTTGTTTGCACTTTTGGTGGACATATTTTTACTCCACTCCAGAGAACGGAGATCTTTTCGTGTGTTACTGATTTTATATGCATTTTGAATTTCCATCTCCTCATCATGACTCATGCACTGTTCAACTGAAAGAACACCAGTAGTGGTATTTGTGTAGCTAAAGAGTGAGTCTTCTGATTTGAATTACTCTTTGCATTTTTCCAGGATGAGGAGATCGCTGGAATTAAAAATCTTATTAATTCTGCCATTTTGGACTCAGAAGTTAAGGGTGGGTTGAGATGGCCCATTGGCAAAGATTCTTCAGGGGGTCGATATGCTGTAATTGGTGTTTGGCACACAACTGCAAAATCATATGGAAATCCGTCAATCAGGTTTAAGCTTCGACATGCAGATCGATTTGATTTCGGATCTTCAACTGGTGAGGTTTCACGGGAGACCAGCCTAAAAATGCCTGGGATTGTATCTCAATTGCGAGTAGGTTTTCTTTCTATGACAAGCAATTATGTTTACTTAATTTTTATTTGGTCTCTGTGGGCAATACTAATACATCTTATTTGGTCTCTGTGGGTAATACATCCGTGTGTGCGTGCAATAGGTGTAACTTACACAAAACCATATCATAATATTCTTAGAAACTAGATTTGAACATCGTACCCTGTTCCCACTTACCGATTACATCCACTGAATTGGGCAAAATATCATCCAAAGCAGCTGGAGCAACACAAATTTACCGCCCTTTTGTTGGAAATTATTAACCTTTTGTATGTCTTCAAAGAATTTACGCTAAAAAGTTATAATTGAGATCTACAAAAGCTCATGTTAGCGAATGGTCACATAACTCGCATGTGCTTGGAAGTACAAACAGAACCATGCAGTGTCTCTTCATTGTTGAATTGATAAGCATTTGTGTTTTATTTTCTAAGTTGAACCTGCACTTCTGAAATAATTAATTTGATTTACATTCTCTTACCGTCTCTTTTAGTTTTATTGAGCCGAGGGTCTATCGGAAACAACCTCTCTACCCCCTCGGGTAGAGGTAAGGTCTGCGTACACACTACCCTCCCAAGACCTCACTTGTGGGATTTTACTGGGTCATTGTTGTTGTTGATTTACGTTCTCTTACCAAAAATGCAGAAGCAAACAATTGACGAAAATCTGGTGTTGAAAATGCTTGAAGACAACTTGAAGTTAATATGGGATCACTGTTTGTCAGATGGTTCTTCAAGCTGACCATGTTTCGTGGCCCTTTACTTACTTTTTTGCAAATATCTGCAGAAACTGCTATATGTACAGTTGGTGAAGAAAGTTGACCTTTTGAATTGCAGTGGTGGAATATACAAGATGTATATTTTTGAATTAGGAACAATAGTTGACCCACCAAAACGCTGAAATTACTTGTTGCACTATGTAGTTTGTGTATGGAAACGAATTGATGCAATGTCTCTGATGCTAGCGGCATCACTAAGGAACATCGGATGAGATTGTAGATAGTTCTGTTGTGAAGCCGTAATGGATAGAACTTCTTATTTGGACTTACTGTTGAGTTGGCACATTTGATTTTGCTTTATGTAGGAAATGTAAATAGCAGACTGATGCATTGAGAGAAAACCTTACGCGCGCACCTGGTGTTTGCAAAAGCAAATAAATGCCAGACGTGTTGTGTAAAAACTTTTATTATTGAACCATGGTTAAGTGATATATATTTCTCTTTAATTTGTGTTATTAAAATTAAATTATTCTATTTGGTATAATAAATACAACGTGCGGACAAGTATTTATTGTCCATGTGTTACCGTATTTTCACCTTTATTAGGCCCCTTAATTCATATAACAGATGCCGTTATAAGCACTAGATCTTATTATGTAGATCAATGGCATTTCATACTCTTCGAATAAAATCTGAAAGCACCTTTCAAATTCTTTCCTCCCTTGTTAATAGAAGTAATTGATCTTGTGACATGTAAAGATGGGAATTGAAAAAGGATATTTAACTCTTAAATTTTCTATAAAGTATTAAGTTATGCCAGTTGAACTAACCATCAATGCTACGGCGGTTAGCAAATTACTCGCAGTGTTTTTACTGCTCTTCAAATGAGAATGTTCAACAGAAAATGGAAACTTTGATATTTTTGAATAATATTGGGGCACTGGTAATGGTTTGAAAGGAGAAGAAATATATTATTATGCTTCTGAAAAAAAAGTAATACATGATGTGTGAGCAATCTATTCCTGGCAAAAGAATCAAATACAACTATACATGTAGTATATATATTGATAGTTTCAATGGCTTTAAAAATACTTTTAACGATACTTACCTTAACTTCCTTATTGGTAAAGCACGCCCAAAAAGTTTTTCTACCTCAGTTGCCTCCATTTTAAGTCCATCCAAAACATCCATTTCTTCTTTGCTCAGCTCTCTTAAGAAGTTCTCTTCATCTCGTTGGAGCTCTTTAAAACCTTCAAACAGTCTACTGAATAAGGTGACTTCTTTATCTCTCACCTTCTCTACTTCTTCTTCTATCTCCTCGACTTCTTTTATGATCGTCCTCTCGCCTTCTTCCACCTTCTTCTCCAACCTCTCAACAAGGGGAGGTTCAGGGCCACATGTATTGTCTGTTTTTATGAAGGTGTTGAAATCACGGCCAACTTTTTGAGCGGCGGTTTGCAACTCGGGTATAATGCTTTCAGGCAAAACTGCACTTCTTGTGTAAAGTACAGAACCACCATATCCATCCCATGCATCATTTCTGCCCTTATAGTACACAAATATGTAATCCTCTGGACTATTTTCTACTTTGGATGACAAAATATACCTGCAGAAAACATCAATTCACATGTTTTAATAATACACAGAATATGTCAATTGGAAACCAAGTACAACATCAAGGTCCAATTTTGCACACGAGATACGGAACTAATTTCAAGATAGGATTTAACAACTCATCATCTCTTGCCAATCCTAGATACGGATGTGGAGCCAGGATTTTGAAGTTTCTGCGTTTAGGATTCTATTCTTTTCAAGTTATTGGGATCTAAATTAATATTTAGAAGCCATATTGGGTTCTTAAGACAAATATAGGGTTAAGACTAAAGCTATTGGGTTAGGCCGAACCCGTAATCGAAGCGCTAGCTCCGCCCCCCTCCCAGATATTTATCTATCAGCAAGGTTTAATCCAGTATGGAGACACGATGTTAAATAGATAGTTAGGGAAATACCAGTCATCTTGGTAGTGAAGATACTCATTATCATGATTGTAGAGTATCCCTGGATACTTTGGATCTTGCACAAATTTTTGCACCGCTGATCGAGTAAAAAATCCTCCATCAGGTGTCCTTATTCTCCACGATAAATTCCCCACAAGTTTGTTTTCTTCTGTATGGAACTCATGCAATTGACAATCAAAAGCATCAAAAGTGGGATTTAAACCGCGTGTTATGAACCATTTCCCGCTAAAATCTTTCATGTCAAACTTCTGGACAAGAACACTTGGATCAGGTACAGGAAAGTCACCAACATCAGATTTACGAGGTACACATTTCTTTCGGGAGACTGCACACTCATTGAACTCGTCTACAACACTGTTCTCAAACAAATCACCACATTTTATCTGCAGAATCACTCCAGCATATTATTACACTACAAATGTGATCACAAGAATATTGAGTTTAATAAGAAATTTGTAGACACCTGACATTCCGTTTCGTCAGGTCTATTGTTGCAAGTCTGGAGACAGGCAACATTAGCTGCACATGCAGGGTTTGCAATGCACTTCGCAAGCTCTAACCTGAAAGCATAATACTTTTCTTAGTCTCATAAGAGTGCTGACATACATGCTGAAATGAAGGTTACAACAACAACCCAGTGAAATCCCACAAGTGGGGTCTGGGGAGGGTAGTGAGTACGCAGACCTTACCCCTACCCCGAGCGAGCAGAGAGGCCTGAAACGAAGGTTAGAAACTCATAATTACTAATATAGCATTTCTCTTCTATGAGATTTCCTGTCATTTTTGCCACCTAGTTCTCCTTCCTCTCACATGAGAAGGTGGATAACAAAATAAGCAAACAAGTCACAACTAAACGGATTTGAAGAAAAAACAGAAAAGCTGCTAGAATATCAAAGAGCCATAGATTAAGGATTAGACAACGATGTTAACTTAGTTTAGTTTTCAACCATTGCATCCTTGGGAATGCAAATATTATAGAAGGGGTATCCTGCATCCCTAGCACAGCAACACATCAGTTATTTTACCACCATAAAAAAACAAATGGTTTGACGAAACTTGTTAACAAGGCAAACTCATACTACTACTTTCTTGGCCTAATTACATAACAGAAAATCTAAGTCTCACAATCAAAATGGAGGTAGAAAGAAAAGCATTATGGTTGAGATTATGATACACTTTGGACATGCTTAAAAATTGATTTCTTTGATTGTAACAGCGATTAGAGTCGGGGAGTTATGGACAGTTGATCAGAAAAATCTAGAGACAGTTTGGTCAACCTGACATCTTTCAGGGTGAGCAGGTTGAGATAAGATAGCACCGCTGAAACTGAAAATTTTATATCTTTACAACTTCATTCTTAAGCCAGGATGATAATCCTGAGAGAACAAACAAGAATCAATTTCACATCCTTATATTTATACATGGGATAGAAGAAATCAAGTTCGAAACTCATGTAGGAAACATACAAGGAGTAGCAAAGCAATCAGGAAAGCTTTAAGTTGTTTACTGACATCTTCTTATCAAATTCATTTTTTCGTAGAAGAAACTAGTCTTGATACTTGTGCAGCAAAATATATTAGTAATAGCTTAGTATAAGGAAAAATTCCGGCATACTTATGTAACATCTGCACGAATTACCTGCACTCTTTCAGTAAGCAAGTACAAGTCTTGAGAGCATCAACCGCATCAGCTTTTGAAGCAACTGACAAAATGAATATAGCTACAATTGCTGTTTTGGCAAATTGGCCCCATTTCTCCCAAACCATCAAAGCTACATCTTTTGGAAATTTGCTTCCTGAATTTCCCTAAAAGAGGACTTGTGTTAGGAAAGAGAAAGAAGAGGATGAAAAGAATGTAGATGACAGAGCTAGATCTTGACATTCCCTTCGAAAATAAGTAGTTAATGATAAGCAATGGCATGAAATCCAAGAGTAAAGGTTTATCAAAAGTCACCTTAGATACATTCTGGTTAATGCTATGTGCGGGAAAGAGATTGTGTTTCCCGTGTGACAATAGTTGCAAACTTCTTGAATCCAAACTGCTGCATATTCTAGGAGATTTTCGAAAGTATCTAGGTATCCGTCTGCTGGAACAAATTTTCGCTACGAATATATTACCAAAGTAATCTTCCCATCCCCAGCTAAACCTTTTATGACCGGGAAACTTTGACCCGACATAATATCTGATGGTTTCATGGTTGGCGAGAAAGTTTGAATGAGGGGCAAGAGCCATTCTTCAACCGTATTAACACCAACTGCAAACTATAGAATTACAATATATCAGATTCTGCTAACCAACTGCAAACTATAGAATTACAATATATCAGATTCTGCTATCTTCTATAATACATAAGTGGGATTTAAAGGTTAAAATATGATATGCAGATATTTTCAACTCATCAAGATTAAAGATTGATCCATTGATGAAATGCTTAAGAAAAAGTTGTAGCTAAACATCTCAAAGATAAAGACTGTCATTACCCGTAGCAGCTAAGAGCTTGTAATTAACAAGAAAGTAGCAGCTAAGAGCTTGTAATTAACAAGAAAATAGCAGCGACGCCGATAACCCCCTTTAACCAAACTGATAAAAGCTAGACTCCGTCTCCTAACACGTTCAATGTTGCTCTAAATATAGATCAGTAAATTAGTCTCCAATAACCCGGAGCTTGTTACAAAAGTCTGAGGGCTTGAATTAACCTTAGAGTTATCATTCTAAGGTTAAGGGACTAACTTTTGTGGAACAAACAGGTTTTGATGAAACTGGAAACAAAGACTGAGTTTTTCTTTTCTCTGTTTTGTGGATGAGCTCCAAAACAAGACATAGCAAATCTAAATCCATTGGGGAATTTGGTTAACGTATGAGGTTACTTTCGTTAGGATTTTGAGATTAAGCTCTTGATTTATTCCCTCTCACCCAGACTTCCATGTCAATTACAGCCTCCCACTACCCTCTTCCATCCAACAATATATTTCATAAGCTCTTTTTGTGCTCTACATCACCAAATCAAGCAAAAACCCAAAAACAACAACCCCCTTCCCCCTCCTCCCACCCACTTTTCCTGTTGGGTGTGCAAACAGAGTACTACATCGGTAGTGGTTAAAAGTATGTTTGGCCAAAACTTCCACTTCAGTTTTCTTTTTCAACATTGAAATTGCACCTTTACAAAGCTAAACATGCACAAGCATCTAAAAATAGCATCATTGGCAGTACCGTTTCTTACATTTGCACCCTAAGAACCAATGTGTAGAATGCTCTAAGCTAAAATGAAGGGCACATATACAATATAAATGCAGAATCATATTCAATCAGTAAAAGACCAAGAAATTAATTCTTGTCTTACTAAAATTTCAAACACTCTGGAAACATAAAGAAGTAAAAATAACAAACCTCATGAAAATAGATTGAACATAAGGATCTTTTTTTTCTGAATTTGGGCACTTTATTAATTAAGTGAGCTGTAGAGTTTGAGTGAAGGGGAAATGGATAAGACATCTTGTGATATTTAGCTTTGCAACGTCACCACTTCTCTTTCTTTGTCTCTGCATTTCCTCTTTTTTGCGCCTTCTTCCTTTTGGATATTTTGGCCTTTGCCACACCCTACACATGGTCCAATTTTTTATATTTAGCTTTCCATAAAATATCACAGGTTTCAATATTCACCTTTTTTTAATGCAATAATAATTTCAGAAATATCTACAAATATGGCTTTCGAAGTTGTTTCATTTTTTTTTTTTGTTATATGTGAAAGTGATTGATTGTATACATCATTTAAGAATATTTTTTGGAACTTGTAATCTAAGCTAATTTTTGTTATAAAATTATGTTATTTATAAAATTATCAATTTAAATTTAAATAATTTTTAATTATAGAAATATAAATTTGAATAAATTAAAAAGAAAAAAAGTGTTAAATAAAATAGAACGAAGGATATATGCTAAATCTTGTAACCCAAACTTCTCTCGTACAGATAACTTGTGATTTAAGTATTAAGGAAGTATATCTAGGAAAAAAATCCTTTAACTCTGTTACCAACGAAGGAAAAAAAAAACTATGCTGTCAATATGTACTTGTCTAATATGATGTTGTCACTAAAAGTGTAATAATAGTGAGTCGAAACGAAAAAGATTGTAAAAATTGCATTAAGCGTCCTATTTGGTCGTCTCTTTTTAACTTGTATCCGTTTTGTTTTCCGTTTATATCTGTACCCGAAGTTCTGTTAAAAATATTTTTAAAAGACGATTTTGCCCTTCTTTAATAAAAGATTACTTTCAGCAAAATAGACTGAAGTTTCGGATAAAATTCATGACAAAATTGTAGACTGCAGGACAAAATTTCAGCATGTTTTGGTATGGAGTTTTAGCAAATGAACTAAATAATTTCAGCATGCATTAGCAAAAACTCATTAGAAAATTACATACTACAAGACAAAAACCTAAGCATGTTTCGTCGGAAGTTTTAGCAAATGAACTAAATAATTTCAGCATGCATTAGCAAAAACTCATTAGAAAATTACATACTACAAGACAAAAACCTAAGCATGTTTCGTCGGAAGTTTTAGCAAATGAACTAAAAAACTTCAGCTTGTTTAGACTGCAGTTTCAAATATAACTCATGACAAAACTATAGATTGCGGGACAAAACTTTAGCATGTTTACTCATTAGAAAATTACAGACTGCAAGACAAAAACTTAAGCATGTTTCTTCTGAAGTTTTAGCAAATGAACTAAAAAACTTTAGCTTGTATAGAATGAAGTTTCGGATAAAACTCATGACAAAACTGTAAACTGCATGACAAAACTTCATCATGTTTTGGTATGAAATTTTAGCAAATGAACTAAATAACTTCAGCATGCATTAGCAAAAACTCATTAGAAAATTACATACTGCAAGACAAAAGCTTAAACATGTACACTCTGAAGTTTTAGCAAATGAACTAAAAAACTTCAGCTTGTTTAGACTGAAGTTTCGGCTAAAACTCATGACAAAACTGTAGACTGCAGGACAAAACTTCAGCATGTTTTGGTATGAAATTTTAGCAAATGAACTAAAAAACTTCAGCTTGTTTAGACTGAAGTTTCGGCTAAAACTCATGACAAAACTGTAGACTGCAGGACAAAACTTCAGCATGTTTTGGTATGAAATTTTAGCAAATGAACTAAATAACTCCAACATGCATTAGCAAAAACTCATTAGAAAATTACATACCGCAAGACAAAAACTTAAGCATGTACACTCTGAAGTTTTAATAAATGAATTAAAAACTTCAGCTTGTTTAGACTGAAGTTTCGGATAAAACTCATGACAAAACTATAGACTGCAGAACAAAACTTTAGCATGTTTTGGTATGAAGTTTTAACAAATGAACTAAATAACTTCAGCATGCATTAGTAAAAATTCATTAGAAAATTACATACTGCAAGACAAAAAATTAAACATGTTTAGTATGAAGTTTTAGCAAATGAACTCAAAACCTTTAGCTTGTTTAGACTGAAGTTTCGGATAAAACTCATGACAAAACTGTAGACTGCAAGACAAAACTTCAGCATGTTTTGGTATGAAGTTTTAGCAAATGAACTAAATAACTTCAGCATGCATTAGCAAAACCTCATTAGAAAATTACATACTGCAAGACAAAAACTTAAGCATGTACACTCTGAAGTTTTAGCAAATGAACTAAAAAACTTCAGCTTGTTTACACTAAAGTTTCGAATAAAACTCATGACAAAACTGTAGACTGCAGGACAAAACTTCAGCATGTGTTGGTATGAAGTTTTAGCAAATGAACTAAATAACTTCATCATGCATTAGCATGAAGTTTTAGCTTCAATGTAAAATAATTTCATGCTATATTAGTGTGAAGTTTTAGCTTCAATGTGAAACAATTTCATGCTATATTAGTATGAAGTTTTAGCTTCAATATGAAACAACTTCATGCCACATTAGCATGAAGTTTTAGCTTCAACGTGAAACAACTTCATGCTACATTAGCATGAAGTTTTAGCTTGTATATGATTAAAACTTTAGACTTTAACGTGAAATAATTATTTTTTTCTATATCCTTTGGGCATTAAATTTGAAGCTTTGAAAAGTTTTTGAAGATCTATTAGTGAAAACTTCATGCTATATCCGTCAAACAATTTTATGCAAGTGTGATTTTGAAGATGAATCTGGTTCAAGTTTCTGGTTTGTGATAAAGCTGCTAAGAGGAGAAGAGGAGATCTTTTTTCATGAATAAGGTTGCAGATCACATGATTAATGCATGATGCAGGTTTATATCTTTTGTCAGGGGTATAATTGTCATATTATTACGATTTTTTGCTAGCTGGCTACCAAATTAATAATTTTTAAAAATAGGGTACAGGTTAAAGGTGGCACAAATATAGGGTACGACTGCAAATCCCCAAAAAGATTTTGTAATATGTTGTCATGTTAAAAAATATATACTTTTGTCACGACCCAAACCGATGTGTGGCTAAACATGAATAATATCGGCTGAATTACGAGAGTAACATGCACGAGAAAAACCTGTCCAAAAGACATATATACATATACGTGCGGATTACAGTAGGCGAGCCGACAAGGTTGTGATAGACAACTATATACCCAAAACTGAAAGCCGACAAGGCCACATACTATCCAACTGTACACATTTGTCGACAGACCTCTAATAGAAATACAACTATACAAAGACGGGACTGAGCCACATCATACCTATATATATATACACACACCCAAGCATATCGTACCAAAATTAAAAGCAGCTCCGGGTCAAGTGGAGCACGCCAACTCTCGCTGATCAAGGATCCTAAGAAGAGGGACCGTCGACTTGCCTACCTGCACCTACGAGCATGAAACGCGGGCCCCGGGAAATAGGGCGTCAGTACGAATGTATGTAAGGCATGAAAATCAGTACATAAGAGATATAGATGAAACATGGAATAAAGAAATCCATCTGTACATCTGAATAACTTTATAAATCCTGAAACATTTATAATGTCATGCACGTGCATATAAATGTCGTGTCATGCATATGTATAGGTGTACATAATCGTCTCGGCCACTATGGGCAACAACTTTAAAATTAAATATCAGATCTTTTTTTATGAGGATATTTTTATCGTAAGGTTACTTATACGATAGTCTCAAAGAATTAGAATAATTGTGTTTTAAAGGTTATTACTTATATCTTTTTGTTGCTAATATTTCGGTCTTAAAACTTAAAAATAAGCCTATGATGCTTTTGTATATGGTAATATGAAAAACAAAATTACAAGAAGAACGCATAAGAGATCCTTCATTATATATTTTTCCATTTTAATATGAACTTTGTACAAAATACAAGTACTCCTCCTAATTAGGAGAAATTAAATATATATGGCCTAATACATACTTTCCCAACTTTTACCAATTTTACACGCCCTAAAAAGATGGAGTTCCCTTTTAAAAAAGGATTTAGTAAAAATGCCTCCAAGCTGATAAAAACAAACTTCAATATTACCCTTTAAGTGGTATTACAAATAAAATGGCTCTAAGATTGATATGCTTATATCTATAAGTTATGCGATTCTTGTTTTGATGATTTGACAAACTTCATGAGAGAACCAGATAAGGAACCTGATACAATTAGTTCCTTTGCGTTCAGAGTAACTAATCAGATGTCTGGTTTAATTATTAAGTAAATCAGATAACGGAGCATTAGAGGGAACATATGGAATCAGTTCCTCCAGTCGTCGTACAAGTCAACTTTCCAGATGTTAAAGCTGCTGCACAGTACAACATCACCATTGAAGCCTGCTAGAGCATCTCTCATGACCCTACACATATATTATCAACATGATGCAAGGTTTTGGCTTAACACTTGCAAACCTAAATATTCATTCTCTCTCAAGTGTGCAACCGCCCTTGTTTTCTCAAGAGTATTGAAGAACAAAGCAGCTACAAAATAAAGGACCAGATCCCTGCATTGATTATGTATCAAGTTCTTCAGTATTATTGTATCTTTGTCTTATGATATTAACTTGCAATT